TATAAACCAGCAATAGCCAAGGTTTGATTCCAACATTCTTCTCTAGATTCCAGGCGAGCAAATAGGGAGCGTCATCATGGCGGGGCTAGGGATGTTGCAAGAATGGGATTCATAAATCGGCATAACTTGCGCATGCGGAAACTAAAAGATGGCCATACAATTCGGCGGACTTGAAACGCCCTGGGCACAATTCAGCGGACTGCTAGAAATAAAGAAGGTCCAGCGCCCCAGTTGCTTGCACGTCTCCGCCAACTCCTCCAGGTCGAACATCTCGCCGATCGGCACTCCCCAGCCGGCAAGCATATGATGGTGCAGATCAAACTCGGGGTTGAGGGCCGGGAAGACCTCGAAACTAACCGCATCGGATGCCACCGCTGCAAAGTGGTTATCCCACATAAATCGGAGCACGTTCTCACTCTGCTCGAGTCCCGCATGCTTGGGCACCGTTTGTTGGCTGTATTCCTGCTTCTGGGCGTCGCTCATGGAGTACCAGGTCTTGGTGAGGCCCACGCGGAGAAAGAAGATGTCTCCGCGTTGGAACTCGATGTTGCAGTCGCGTGCGATGGCCAGCACGTCGTCGAGAGGGACCACATGCTGGCTGAGTCCATTTACAGTAATGCCCTTCTTCTCGGCCCAGGATAAGTAGTCAATCAAGACACCCCGACCGGCGATTCCCTTCTTCGCCCAGTATCCAATCCCGATCCGCGATGAGCTCGAGTCCTGGATTTCTTCCGCTGTAGTACCACCGTAGAATACGCGGCGAGCTTGATCCTCGCGCGTCGGGGCAGGTGCACTATGGTGTCGGAGGCCATCCCACTGAGAAGATTGTTGTGGGTTGAAATGATACTCATCGTCGAACGCGATGCCGGGAGCCACCCATTTGATGCGATGTTCGAAAGGCTTTCGGCGGAATCCTGCGGGCGAGTTAATGGACCGTCCCGGATATACGATGGAATCTTATCACAGCCACGGCAAAGGACTCTCCATGGCTGATGCCGGTGATGCTCCTACCTGGTGTGTCCAACTGTTTCAGATCCCAATTTAAACAGACTCTCAGCCCGGTTTGAATCTGTGTGCGTGCGGCGTCCGCTACGATCTCCGGCGTCAGGATGCGAAGCATGCCTAGACCCTCTTCCGGGGATCCAGCGGCTGCCGGCCAGTATTGTCTCTTGTTGGGGAGATCGTCATATTTTTCAGGTAGATTGTCGATTCCGTTTGTCATGGCTGCTGATGAAAGGAGCAGTTGGCCAAAATGTATCGATCTAAAGATCAACAGCTCTGGGGCGCATGGGAATGCCCCTCTTGGATTTATAGAGCATTGTTGAAGTGGGGAAATTAAAGTAATCGGACCATGTCCGAGAGCAATTAATTAGAAAAAGAGATACCCAAGACAAGAACAGGAAGCCCACTGACACTTTCGGATACATGTGGACTCCGAACTGTACATCTATATGCAATGGTGCTCATGGAAGAGTGAATATCTGCTAAGACAAACCCATCTCAGTCATTTGCAGGCTCCTGGTATTTAAGAGTTGACTGTGCAATTTCTACAGTATGGTGTATTCAAACAATAAAAGATACAAAAAAACAAGATAAAAGGAAATAAGAATACAGCTTTATCCAGCTTACAGGTCATCCACATCTTGATCGGCAGCTGCAGGTTTACCCTGCTTATCAAGTCGAGACATTTCGTGCTCCTCACCCGCCCGTCCAGAACCTCCCGGAGTCGACATTGCGATGGCTTGTCGCCCGGTGTCGGACGACTCGAGGAATTCACGCAGCCGCTTTTTGCCCTCTGTTACTGCTTGGTTCGAGGCAGCCTCGGTCATTTTGATGATGGGGCCCCATAGGTTAAGCTGGTAGGTGATGTAAGCTCCGACAGCACAGACGAAAAGGAGGAAGAAGTAAGCCGGGTTACGGAGCACTGTTAATACAGGTGTTAGTCTTCAGCGGATCGTATATAACTCAAGCACTAAAGTGAAACTCACCAGCAATAATCTCATTCCATCCCAGTGCGAGGAGGATGCCGTAAAAGTACAAGGGCACTTGGGTCATGCCTCCAATGGCGCTCCGTTTAGCCTCAACATAAACTCCATCCGCAGCCTTCTTGAAGCGAACGGTGAGCTCCTGTCGCTTGGCATCACTGACAATAGTCATTTCTTCTTCCAAGCTCTTGCCTTCCTCCTCGTCCACCCCACCAATGGGAGGCAGGTCTTCCTCGTCAGCGGGGGTCGCGGAGCTAGGCGTGTGCCCGATCCAGCGGTCCAGAGGGGGCGGTGCAGACGTCTCGTCAAGTCGGAATTTGGACAGAAGGGGAATAAGAGTCAACGTTGATTCACGAGCGCGAGTGTATATCCCTTCGATATCATCGGTCGGGCGCCAAATCCGGGGAACACCAGCATCATCGTAGCGGAACTTGTCTTCAAAATTCTCGCGCAACTTCAACAGCAGATTGCCTTCGATCATCTCTTCATCAATCTTAGCGCGCAGGACGCCCCAGGACTTCCTCCGCAGTCTCCAGAGTCCGACGTCCACTTCCTCCAGGCTGGCATCGAAACTGCTAGCGCGGTCTGTGAATCGCCTCTCGGCATCAAGGACTGTCTCGACAAACACGTTCCACACGCGATCCCAGAATTTCTTTTCCGTTGGCTGATCTCCCTTCTCCGGCGCACCACCACCAGCTCGTCCAGAGCCGAGAGCGTTGAACTCAAGCCCAACAGATTCGCCCAGTCGAGATTGAACCCATCGTTCCACCCGGCTGGCAAGACGTCTCATCTCGTCCCTTCTTAGGCGCGCACTGACTTCCGCAAGCTCCTTTTCATACAAGGCTAGCTCTTGCTTATAGTCACTCCAAGAAGTGCCATCCACCACGGTGGCACGAGCGACTTCCTCAAAATTGTCCACGGCCTTCTTAGCCTCTTCATTGACAATCTCTGCGAAATCGTACCCGGTGCCCTTCTTCTGGCCGGACTTCACTGCAGCCGAGACTGCATCGCTAAAATCACTGATTCCCGATTTGTGCGCCGCATTGAGCTGACCCTGGAAAAGAGCCTTCAAACGGGTATCAGCTTTGCTTTCGAGCTCTGCCCTTTTGCGCTGGTAGACGCCTTTGTGGTACCGACTAGCCTCAGTCTCAAAAGCCTTGACAGCCTTGGTGCGTGACGACCGCATCGCCGCTCCTAGGCCTCCAAGAATCTCCGGTTCTCCAAGGCGAGCGGCTTGCGACTGTTTATCTTCAAAGGGGATGATAGCCTCGTCGAAGGCAACCATTACTTCCCTCAGGATTTCGTCACACCTAAACTGCGCAAGCAACTCTTGTTGTGTGGGCAGATCTAGATCCTTATTGTTGACGATTTGATCCCAGATGCCTTCGGCGTATCTAGAAACGCCGTCCGCAGGGATACGCCGGTGATACTCCGGGAGGAAAACACCGCCATCTGAGAATTCGCCTTTCCGCGCATCTAGGTTAGGGTCCCTCTGGCCGTCGCGGAAACGAAGACTGAGCTTCTGTGTCTCTTCCACAAACTTCTCTGGCTGGTATCCTTTATGCGGCAGGCCGTAGAACTGGAAATCGAAGTAATCATGTACGTTCGAGTTCTCCAGGCCAGCAGGCTTAGATATCGAGTCCCAGAGACGAGCCATATCTTCCATCAAGGTCTTCTGCAAGTTCTGGAGTGGCGTCATCCCCGAATAGTCACGAATGACGAAAAACAAAAGCGATCGATGGGTGGTACTGCGATAAATATTAGCACGAGAAGGGTCCGGAGACTGCGCTGGGGGGGTTGTACTTTTTATCCTTGAGGAACAACTGCAAGTTGACTTCGAAGACAGTCTTTAGAAGCCCCATATTCGCGCCCTGGTACAATCCGACCTGGTGTTCCCAGATATTCACAATAAGAACCTCACTGGTCGCCAGTGCGAAAAGGGCACTCTTGCGCTCGAAGTCCTGGTCTTCACCTCGCTCACGGCCGTCTGTACCCTCCACATCCATAACTAAGATGTTGCTGGCCATGGTGGGGTTCTCATTTTTATTTTTTGACATCCAGATTCCCTTTGTTGTCTGCCGTCTCTCCAACTCTGACATGACAGAGAAATGCGTGCCGAAAAGGTGATTGAGAAGCGTAGATTTACCTGTCGACTGCGATCCAAAGACGGAGATAAGGTGGTAATTGAAGCCGGAGGGAGTAACATTTTCAAGGCTCAGGTACTGCGACAGATTTGGGCTAGGATTACCATTAGCTTTCGAGGTTATACTCCCTATTCATATACTGTCCGTGAGGAAGCGCATCACGGCGCAATGTACATGTCTTGGAGAAGATATGATGGAGGCATAGAGAAATTGCACCGAAGACAGGGAAAGACGTACTTAAATTCCTTGTTCTCATCTATTACTTGTACCCCGTGCTCATATGCTGTACTATCACTGGCAGAATTGCCAATGGAGGCGAAATGGCCGTTCATAGCCATGGTCAAACGCACCGTCTGGTGTAGGCAAATTCCACCGGCTGTGGTTGCAAGAATTGGGTGGCTCTAAAGTAATAAACGGGGTGTTTGTTTTGCGGATGATGTCGCACTTGGGGGGAAGTGGGAAGCACAACGTCAGGGTGTGGAGAGGGTGGCGAAAGTTGGGACAGATACCGTGTGAGGCGGGTGGAAAGCGTCAACTAAGTACATGTAGTATGAGATCGAAGGTAGATCACCCAGAACTAAGGAGAATCACAAGACTTAAGAAGGACGGTCCTGTGAGACTACGCCCGAGGGTCGGCTGGGGTCTTGTGGATAGGGAGGTTGTCGGTTGGTTGTCCGGAGTACCCTTGACGCCTGAGCGGCCAGGCCACACCACCGAATCCACCGCGTGCCTAGGCTTTGCTGCATCTGGTTTAGTGACGATCGATCCATCTATCATGTGGAACACACGACGGTGACAGAGTCCCCTCTACATACCCAAAACAACGGCCCACTCCTATTTACGGATAATAGCGATTAAGGAGAGCTGGACTAAAATAAAATTCAATAAAATCAAACACAGAGGGTGAACAATCTTTCCGTTCAGAACTAAGAAGGAACAAGTACGATGCACTTTCCAGCCCCCTCAGAATAACCTTCCGATATCTTCACAGTAAAGATAAGTCCAACCTCACTCTACATCAAGACCGCTATTGAAATCGGGCCACATTCCACTCTAGGTTGCCCAACAACCCCTGGACCTATGGATAGCGTTCAAACTCAGGTGTTGCAACAGGTGGCATATGCTACGTTTGGCTACATGATACGTCAGGATAGTGGATTGCTAATATTCTTCCAATTGGGTTATTGTCCGTCCTGGGTACTGCATGTCTCGCACAATTCCCTATGAGCTAGGTAATAGGACGGTGTACAGCTGTCCCCAGGTCTCAAAGCAAGAGTTAGTAGACAATCAGATTCACCTGTAAACCGCCGGGCCAAGGCCTAGGCAAGTTACTCTAGAGTAGGGCATAGGTGGCCGTAGGATTGGGGGCTGGAGAGATAATTATAGACCTCGAATTGATAGCCACCGGTCTGGCCAAAGCTATAGATAAGTTGGTCTCCGCTTTACTCTTTCAAAGTCGATACGTGGACTGAGCTTTGTACATTATATTAATCATCGGATTCATATTCAACGACATACCTAGATAGAGGGGAGAATTGTAGAAAAGAAGAGAAAAATAAAAAGTCTACATGGGTAAATACAATACAGGTACATGGCATGACTCACGAACTCCGGTATCAACGTTTCCCGGATCCCTTCGCTGATTCCCGCGCTGCAAGAAAAACAAATCCGGACATAAATTTTTCATAGTACAAAGGCCGCTGATTTATCAGTGACCGTAGCGATCTGGCATTTATTTTCCGTCCATGACACGGGTAACGAGACCAGTGGCAACGGTACGGCCACCCTCACGGATGTTGAAGCGCTGGCCAGCCTCAGCAGCAATGGGGCGGTGAGTCTTGAGGATCATCTCAACGTTATCACCGGGCATCACTCTCCGGGATTCATCACCGTCGGGGAAGCTGAGGTCAGCAGCCTCGTCTAAAATACAGTTAGAACCTATCCAAGACCATTAAGTGAGAACAAGGCTTGACTTACCAGCAGTGCGAACGAACACCTGGGGGCGGTAGTTGGCGCCGAAGCCAGTACGACGGCCACCCTCAGCCTCAGTCAGAACGTACATGGACACCATGAACTTGTCATGGGCCTTGGTGCTGCCAGGAGCAGCAATGATCATACCGCGCCTGACGTCCTCACGACGGATACCACGGAGAAGCAGACCGGAGTTGTCACCAGCGCGAGACTCGTCACAAGACTTCTTGAAGGTCTCAATGTCGGTGACCTTGGTCTTGGTGGCATCGAAGCTACCTCCAATGATCTCGACTTCGCTATCCTTCTTCAGAATACCACGCTCG